GGGCCGCCCGCCGCCTTCCGCCGTGTGGCAAGCATGGGAGTCGCCGCCGCCGCCGCCGCCGCAGCCACCACGCTCCTCGGGGCCGCCGGTCCAGCATTCAAAGCCCGAGTAGGCGAAGTCCTCCTGCAGCAAGGCGGCGTAGGCGGCGTCGGGCGGGCTCCCTCGGGTCCCTCCTGCCGCCGCCGCGGCTTCTTCCTCGCCGCCGCCGCCTTCGCCGTTGTGCTTGCGGTAGAGGCTGGCCAGGCAGGCCTTGAGGCGCTCCTTCTCCAGCAGCAGCTTGTGCAGCCGCTCCAGCGAGAGCGCCTCGATGCGGGCCACCACCGTGTCGTAGCGGTAGACGCGCTCCAGCATGAAGGCGCATTTGCTGCAGGCGAACTCGGCCCGCCCGTCGCGGGACACCTCCTGGCCCAGGACGTGCGAGAGCAACACCTGCAGGCTCACCTTCGCCGCCGGGTGGAAGAGCCAGCGCCGCTGGGTGCCGCAGAGCTCCCGCCCGCAGATGCGGCAGCTCTCCCGCATCCTCCCCACCCCCGCGGGGCCCAGCTAGGGCCGGCCGGTCTCCCTCGCCGAAGCCCGCCCGGAGACGCTCCCGCGGCTGAGGCGTTTTGATTGTGGCTCAGATTTCAAGATGGCGCCCGCCGCCCGCCCGCCTTGCGCAGACGCGCCTCAGACCTGGAGCGGCCTCACAAAAGGAGCCGCCCTGGATCTCCCGAGGGGAGGGAAGGGCAGCCCTCAGCGGAGCTCTTTTCCCCCAGGCGTCTCGCCACACAGAAAGTGGAGGCGAGGCTTCCTTTGGAGCATCCCACTCGAGGGGGTTTACTTCAGTGTAAACCTTGGCTGCCTAGTTTTCGGTACTGGGGCTGAAAGGGCAGCTTAAAGATGTTATTTGAATAGAATACACAATAGCTGTGGTGAAAGGCATCAGAGACGGTTTCCTAAATTACACATGAGGAAGAAAGCAAAGCCAGAGAGTCATCCGTGTTCCCTCTAAGCTGAGTTAGTGTGAGCTAGCTCACAGTTTTTTAGCCTCCGGCTCACACATTTTTGTCTTCGCTCAGGAAGGAGGGCTCTAGAGCAAACTAATCCATACAGTAGCCAAATCGCTTGCTCACAACTTTAATGCCAGTAGCTCACAGAGTAGAATTTTTGCTCACAAGACTCCACAGTTTAGAGGGAACATTCATAACCCCAAGGAATGCAACAGAATGTGAAAGATTTAGGCCCCTTTAGGGCATAAGGTGTTTCCTCCGATTTCCAGTCCAGCCCCTTAGGAGGTCCATTTCATAGACTCATCACAGGTTATGAAGATCTTCAGTTCAGCTCATATTTCTTAAGTTAGAAGTTCTAAGGAGGCCTGATCCTCTAAAGCATCATACCCAGCGGCTATAAATATAACCTGCTATGCTTGCTGACCACAGCACAGCAATACACAAGCACAGAACTGCAGTGAACGAGGCATAGATACTTGCATGATTTAAAGAACCAAATGGCTCAAGGAAGCGAGCCAAGTCACATATTACAAGGAAAGACAATAAAAATATACTGCTAGATGGACGCTGCAGTCCGAAGGATACTTTCCTGGGGCTAAGCTTCCTTTGACTCTCAAAAGCTTACATCCCCCAAATCCTGTTGATCTTTGCTCCTGGTCACTGGTTCCCAAAGTGGGCAATACCACCCCTCCCGGGGGGGGGCGGGGCGCTGTGACGATCCAGGTGCAGATCCACAAACTGCATCTTTTTGTCCACTTGAAGGTAGATTTCCAGGAGGGTGCTGAGTAATTTTTTCCCCCTGAAAAGGGGGTGGCAGGCCAAATAAGTTTGGGAACTGCTCTTCTACTGTAGACCAACATGGCTGCCCTCTGAAACTATCTGAATAACTTGGGGCTTCCTTCTGAGTAGACCTGCTCAGGAGTCCTCCCTCAGGGGAGCGTGGGTATGCAGACTACAAGGAAGGTGTGTGTGTGTATTGCTGCCAGTCTGAGTAGACAATACTGACCTTGATGGACCAAGGGTCCGATTCTGCATAGGGTAGCTTCACGAGCTCCTCCTAACTGACTGTTCTGTCCGGGCAAGACTGAGCCTACACAAGGACTGGACAGAATGGATGCAGCAAGAAATCTAGGGTTGCCAGCTACAATGTCAGGCCTGTAGCCAGAAAATTTTCGGTGGGGGGGGACCGGAGGGGGCACGACATCACTTCCAACATCACAAAAAACAATAAAATAAAATAATAAAACAAAATAAGGAGTAAGGAGGCAGCCCAAAATGCCAAGCAGAACCTCCTCCTGAAACAAAGTCCACCTTCCCTCCTGGGGTGCTCTCTCACGACCAGCGGGCAGGAGGAGGAGGAGGAGGACTTCCTGAAGGAGGAAGCAGCAGCAATGGAGGGAGGGAAGGAATGGAGGGAGGGAAGGGCGGGCGGGCAGGCGGGCAGGGGCTCGGAGTGAGGGCTCCTTCCCTGCCAAAGC